ATATAGCACAGAAGTACACTCCCATGCTTACCGATTTCGTTCGGTAATTAAATTCCGTAGGAATAAACCTAGTAAATACTTACTAGTATGTGTTTATTGCGTATTAAATGAGAATTTAAATTCGATTATTACATTCTACGGGTATAACCAATTGCACAAAAGTATTTGATTTCTTTGGGAATAAAAAAAAAAAAAATGAAATTTAACGACTCGGAATAATGAACAGATCCATCGATATAGAATTTTATTTACGTTAATTAAACTGGTTTTAATTATTAATCTGGATAAAAGAAAAAAAGTAGAAAGGGGGCGGGGGAAAAAGAAAATTAGAACGCGATGTTTAAACAATTTCACACGTACACGCAATCATTTTTTTTAAATTTAATATTTATTTTTTTTCATTTGCTATAATATAAGGAAGATAATATTTTTATTTAAATCAATAGAATTTTTTGCAATTAAGTATAGAAATGATATTCTTTTCGTTAAAAACACCCTGTATACGAAATTTTAACGGAATATAAATTATATATTTTTCTCTTCCATTATCCGTTTTAATGGGCGGGGGGGGGGTAGGGGTGGAAAGTAATTGAAGTTTATAAAAAGAAAAAGAAAAGAAAAAAAAATAAATCATCATTCTAATCGATTTGACAAAAAAAAAAAAAAAAGGGGGGATCACCTGGTATATACAAAGATTGATGAACTTATTTAAAGTCCGTCTCTACCTCGTGAAGGGTCATAGGTGAAAGACCGGTAATAATAATGAAATAATCGCGAAATTAAATATACCCTCTGTCTGATTGCTGCTACTGGAAACACATTCTAAATTAGTCCTATCGATTTCGGTTACGATGGAAACCGGTTGAAATAGTTCTGCAAAATTTATTCCGATGATTCTATACAAATATCAGAGACACCTACACACACAGAGACACATAAAGACACAAACACAGACATATTTATTTACTAATTTAAGATGTAAGATTGTTATATTCAACGATAGTTTTATTACAGATAAAAAAAATACGAGAACATAAATTAACAGATACTTAATGAAAGTTTGAAATAAAGTTTCTTCTCGAAATGATAGGTTCGAAAAAAAAAATAAAAAGAAAAAAAAAGAAAGAGTTTAATTTGTTTTATTAATCAAACTTTTTGGAAAAAAAATTTGCGCAAAACTTTAATTGTAACTAAT